CTGAAGAGGTGGGGAAGATATGGGAGGAGGAAGAGGCGATAATAATATTTTTGAAGTAATTTTCATCACTTTTGGCGTTTGTGTAAATTATTGTTGTTGTTAGGCGTTGTTACTGACGTCACACCTTCATGGCGCCTGTGTCTCTGTCATCATGATGTCATCACCCCTCCTTTGTAACTATGGAGCTGTTCCTCTGGTCTTACACCCTCCTGGGCTAAGAGCTGTTCCTCTGGTCTTACACCCTCCCTGGGTAACTAAGGAGCTGTTCTCTGGTCTTCACCCCCCTCGTTAACTAAGGAGCTGTTCTCTGGTCTTACCTCCCTGGGTAACTAAGGAGCTGTTCCTCTGGTCTTACACCCCTCCCTCGGTAACTATGGGGCTGTTCCTCTGGTCTTACCCCTCCTCGGTAACTAAGGGCTGTTCTCTGGTCTTACACCCTCCTCTGTAACTAGGCTGTTCCTCTGGTCTTACACCCTCCTCTGTAACTAGGGCTGTTCCTCTGCTTACACCCTCCCTCTGTAACTTATGGGCTGTTCCTCTGGTCTTACACCTCCTTCGTAACTATGGGCTGTTCCTCTGGTCTTACACCTCCTCGGTAACTATGGGCTGTTCTCTGGTCTTACACCCTCCTCGGTAACTATGGGGCTGTTCTCCTCCTTACCCCTCCTTCGTAACTATGGAGCTGTTCTCTGGTCTTCACACTCCCTCGGTAACTATGGGGCTGTTCCTCTGGTCTTACACCCTCCCTCGGTAACTGTGGTGTTCTCTGGTCTTACACCCTCCTCGGTAACTATGGGGCTGTTCCTCTGGTCTTACCCTCCTTCCTTAACTATAGGGCTGTTCCTCTGGTCTTACACCTCCCTCGGTAACTATGGGGCTGTTCCTCTGGTCTTACACCTCCCTCGTAGCTATGGAGCTGTTCTCTGGTCCTTTCTCGTTAACTATGGGGCTGTTCCTCTGGTCTTACACCCTCCTCGGTAACTATGGGGCTGTTCCTCTGGTCTTACACCCTCCCTCGGCTATGGGGCTGTTCCTCTGGTCTTACACCTCCCTCGTGCTATGGAGCTGTTCCTCTGTCTTACCACCTCCTCGGTAACTATAGGGCTGTTCCTCTGGTCTTACACCCTCCCTCGGTAGCTAAGGCTGTTCCTCTGGTCTTCCTGGTAACTATGGGGCTGTTCTCTGGTCTTACACCCTCCCTCGGTAACTTAGGGGCTGTTCCTCTGGTCTTACACCTCCCCACGGTAACTATGAAGCTGTTCCTCTGGTCTTACACCCTCCCTCGGTAGCTATGGAGCTGTTCCTCTGGTCTTACACCTCCCTCAGTAACTATGGAGCTGTTCCTCTGTGGTCTTACCCTCCCTCGTAACTATAGGGCTGTTCCTCTGGTCTTACACCCTCCCTGTTAGCTAAGGCTGTTCTCTGGTCTCCTCGGTAATTCAAGGGCTGTTCCTCTGGTCTTCCCACCCTCAGTAACTATGAAGCTGTTCCTCTGGTCTACACCCCTCCCTATGGTAACTATGAAGCTGTTCCTCTGGTCTTACCCCTCCCTCGGTAGCTATGGAGCTGTTCCTCTGGTCACACCTCCCCTCGGTAACTATGAAGCTGTTCCTGGGCTTACACCTCCCTCGTTATAACTTTATACTGTTTCCTGAGTAATTAAACCACAAGCCACTCCCCCAGAGAGTATGAGGGTGATCCATTTACTAACCAACCACCCCTGAGATAAAGATGCTATTCTCTTAGGCTGTTCCATCGAGCGTCCAGCCACTCCGGTAAGGCTAATGTAGTCTTAATCCCTCTTAACTCCTCTTGTAAATATGGTCGCTGTTCGCTTGCCTGCCGACCCCCCAGGTTAATGAAGTACTGGTGGTGGCTGGGCAGTAGTTTAGCTAAGAGAGGTAAGTGGGAGTGGGAGAGGGACGGAGGGAGGTGAATGGGGCAGGGGAGGGTAGAGGTGGGGGCAGGGCGGGGAAGGGAGTTGGGGGTGAGGGAGTGGGTGGAGGATGGGGAATTGGTTTGCGAGCGGCCAGCATTACCCCATTAGGAGAGAATGGCAGCTTTCCGTCTGCATTGTGATACCCTAGTACCGGCCATCTGGGTGGTATGGTACGGCTATGGGGGGTGTGAAGGGGGGTGAAGGGGGGTGAGAGGTGGAGGGGGTAGAGGGAAGGAACATGAACGAAGGGAATGACTAAATTGACAGACAGACAGTTAGACAGGTAGGACAGGTAGCAGCCCAAAAAACAACTGATGCTAATTAACTAATAGTCACCTGACAACGAAGAAAACAATTGTCAGACCAGACACAAGACAGTGGCGTCAACACAACACAACGCAACACAACACAACACAACACAACATCAACACAACGTAACACAACGCAACATAACACAACACAACACAACGTAACACAACACAATACAACACAACACAACGCAACACAGCACAATGCAACTACAGCGCAACATAATACAACACACAACACAACACAACACAACACAACACCTCACAAGACTTTCTATGAGTGAGATGTTGTCTCTGAGTTGTGGCTTGCGTTAGGTTAAGTTAGAGTTAGGTTAGGTTTCATTGATATTCGTAGTTTAAGTAGACAGAATACTATATAAATAATGTACAGTTATGGCCAAAATACTGACATTGCTGAAACTTTTGAGTATTTTATCTCTGTATATTTTGGTGTAATATATATGTGATGATGTGAAGATTAGCACCCTGATGATTTCAACTGATGATTAAACAAAGTAATGCTAGATGTGGTGTGTGTGTGGTGTGGTGTGGTGTGGTGTGGTGTGGTGTGGTGTGGTGTGGTGTGGTGTGTACTGTGTTATGAATCTTAGGTAAACCAACTAGGATGGCTACTTCAGGTGCCCTAATACCATAAGAGAGACGTCTTACACTTGTCACTATAATCAGCAACAACAAGTAACTAACCTATACTGTGCAGCGGCCGTGATGGTCAGCTGCACAGTACCCTCATCACTGCTCAAGACACTGTTGCCGACGTCGACCAAATGTTGAACAAAATCCTTCAGTTGTCAGCCCAGGTGATGTACAACTGTGTCAAAGGTAAACAGAGCAAGGCTCACTCGCCCCTCTGGTTCAGCCTAAACTAGAACATTACAAATCAACACAACGTTAACAGGAGAAATTTGCCTTTGAAAATAGCCACGAACTGGTCGTTCCTGGAGGCTGGAGTGAGGCGTACAAATATACTAACTATCTGGCAGAGACCACACACATTATGGGCCTTTATCTGTGTGTAAGTACTGTTGATGCGGGAACATTACACAATGCCTCTCTTAAGTGTACAGGTGGATGACACTGTCCCTTGTTGCTGAAGGACTTACACCTAACTACACTCCAGCTCCATACTTGGTGGTCCAGGGCCTGGCGTTAATGGCCCGCGCCCATAACCTTCCAGGAGGCCGGACAAGCTGCTCACACCCGCTGGTAATGACTTGAAGTAACGCATATGGTGCTCAAGCCTCTACCTGAGGTCCAACTTATTCCTACCTGTTATATATAGTCGTTAATTATTATTTATCAGTATTAGAAATCTTTATCACCTAAGTCAACACGAGTAAATGATAACACTCAGAAGCCTTCCTGAGGGTCTGAGGGGTGTCATAATAAGCCATGCCAGCGAACATTAACCGACTAATAGCTGGAGGACTGAGTTTCGTCTCAACCTCAGGAGCTTCTGACAAACTCTCTCTGTTATAAAACCCAGAATTTGAACTGGTTGTTGTTGTATTGATGTAGTTGTTGTTGCTATTGTTGTTGTTGTTGTTGTTTGCAGGTCACGTCACTTTACACCACCTGGAGGTCAGAGGTCAACGTAGTAATTGATTGAATGTTTATTTGTTTATAATAAACATTAGAGGAGTTTAGTTTAGTTAATATGACCAAATGACCCCAGCTTGGCGTGAGAGGTGAGGAAAGGAGGGAGGAGGAAGGAGAAAGCTTGTGATAGATAAGAGGAGGAGGCGTCTAACAGAGAGAGAGAGAAAATATAAAGTCGTAGCAGATGTCTACACAACCCTAGTTGAAAAATTCCATAGATGTGGACCTTCGTCGATCGTGATTGTGTTAGAGCCAGCTATCAGTCTGCTATGATTGGGGGTTGGTATGAGTGGGGAGGAAGCTGGCAGTAACGAGTGTTCTCAAGATCACAGTCCTGACTTGACACCCTCAACGCCATCTATTAGTCAAATGATAAAATCAGCTGTAGAGTGTGTTGCTCGGCCATGGAGGCTGAGATTCTGTAATTATTTACCTTATCTTATTACATCGAAACAACTTTGCCGTTGAGGTTCCGAGTTTGTACCAGTCGATGTTGGACCTTCCTGGTCCCATTCTGGCTAGCGGGTGAGCTCAGATCGGAAGGATAAAAAAGAAGGAGTCTCCCGGCCACTTGAACATATATGGTTCCTGGGAAGGAGACCATATAATATTAACCATTAACATCAATTACTGAGTTTAGGTGTTGAGAGTAATCTTGTGAGATGTGTCTTGTTTCTTCCCGGTGATCTTATCCAACGAAATATTTTCACGGAATAAAGTAATGGTGATCTGGACCATGACTAATCCTCCTTGATGATATGGTATATCGGGCCGCAAAAATCCTCAACAAACCTGGAACCTCGCTGTTATCTTTATCTCGTCAGCATCAGCAAGAAGAATCTCTGGCATAATTTCCACAATTGGCCAACAATTGCCTTCACTGAGACACTTCAACACAACCTTCTGAGATCACCACCGCCATGCTAACAACAGATAAAGAACTCAAGAGCTGGACTACAGTGTCTAGTCGTTACATAACCAGTTGTTGAGAACATTTTATCCTGAAGATGGCGTCACAACAGGCTCCCCCCTACAACAAGAACAAGAGTTTAAGGCCTTTTAGTTATAGTCATTTGCTGTCACTCAACACGAGCGAGAGTCAACACACCTTAACCCGATTCTTCCCCACCACTCACCAGGATCAGTTTTGCTGTCGAATGTGGTGCTGAGCCGTCCTGGGTGTGGCGCTGAGCTGTCCTGTGGTACTGAGCCGTCCTGTGTGGCGCTGAGCCGTCCTGGTGTGGCGCTGAGTCGTCCTGGTGGTGCTGAGCCGTCCTGAGTGTGGCGCTGAGCCGTCCTGAGTGTGGCGCGAGCTGTCCTGAGTGTGCTGAGCCGTCCTGAGTTAACAGAAGTGAGAAGGTTGCATCCACAACCCTCTCTTCAGCCGAGGGAAGGAGACGGACACAAGTCTTGGGTATCAGAAATTCTCATCGCCGACAAAGCCAGACCAAGTAATGAGGCGACCAAACCATCACTTCACACCCAGAGCCAACCCTGTGACTCCAGGATGGACCAGCGCCAGAGAAGGGCTACCTGCCTCACCTGCTGCCACTGAGACACACCATCACTAAGTCTCCGTCCCAGAACCAGAGACGCCTTAGGCTCTCAGCCTGGCCTCGAGAGTTCAGGAGGTAGAGCCCAGTCTTCCTGACACCTGGGCCACACCCTGGGTGAGGCCCTGACCCATTGTCACTGCCTCAGAGTTTCTGTCCCCCAGAAGGACTGAGGCAACAGGTCAAGGTGGTAGCTAAAGTCATTTGTTCACAAGCTTAGGGTATGCCTTGTGTCGGAGTGGCTCACCAAGTTACTCTAAATGTTCCATAATGAGAGTTGACCACAAGGAACAAAACAACACCATGAGAGGACTGACACATATGTACACGTCTGACTGCCCGGCGACCCTCCACCTGACACCCAGAATAAGTTACCTGATACTCCGCCCCACCTTACACCGGACACCAGCCCCTAATACCTGCCCCACCCTACACCAGCCCCTAATACTCCGCCCCACCTTACACCAGCTCCCTAATACCCGCCTCCCACCCACACCAGCCCCACATCTGCCCACCCACCAGTCCCCACTCCGCCTCCACCTACACCAGCCCCCACCTGCCTCACCCACACCAGCCTGACACCTGGCTCCCCACCCACACCAGCCCCCACATCTGGCCTCACCCACACCAGCCCCCACACTCCGCCCCCACCTTACACCAGCCCCCCACACCTGCCCTCCCACCCTACACCAGCCCCCACTCCGCCCCACCCACACCGGCCCAGCCCCCGATCCCTGCCCCACCTGCCCAGCCCCACATTCCATGCTCACCCACACCAGCCCTGACATTCTGGCCCCCACCCTATGCACCCCAGCCCTCATCACACCTCCTCACCCACACCAGCCCCACGCCTCACCTTCACCAGCTCCTGATCACCTGCTCTCACCTTACACCAGCCCCACACCTGCCTCACCTTGCAGGCTCTTGACATTCTGCCTCACCCACACCAGCTCCCCACTCCGCCTCACCTTCCACCAGCCCCTCACTCCGCCACCTACACCGACACCAGCTCCCCACACCTGCCTCCTACCTTACACCAGCTCCTATCATCTGCCTCACCCACACCAGCTCCCTAACACCGCCCACCTTCACCGGACACCAGCCCCTGCACAGAAAAATACTTCATTAGACAACAGACTGAACTGAGTTAGGTTGACCTCATCCCCTGGCCTACATTAAATGAGAGTCACAGCCATTATAAACACTTGGGTGAGGTGTTAAAGAAGGGTGAGAGTTAAAGAAGGTGAGGTGTTAAAGAAGGTGAGTGTGTTAAAGAAGGGCAGGAAAGAAGGTGAGGAAGTTGTAAAGAAGGGTGAGGTTGAAGAAGGGTGAGGTGTTGTTAAGAAGGTGAGGTGTTAAAGAAGGGTGAAAAGAAGAAGTGTGAGGTGTTAAAGAAGGTGAGGTGTTAAATAGGTGAAGAAAGGTGAAATAGGGTGAGGTGATAAAGAAGGGTGTGAGTTGTGCAGAAGGTGAGGTTAAATATTGCAGGTGATGTTAAAGAGAAGAAAGCAGCATGAGGTGTTAAAGAGGTAGAGGCGTGAGAGTTAGTGAGTTGTTAAAGTAAGGGTGAGGTGTTAAAGAAGGGTGAGGTGTTAAAGAGTCATGAGGTGTTTAGTTTATGTGTTAAAGGATGGTGAGGTGTTAAAGAAGGTGGTGAAAGCTAAAGAAGGTGATGTTAAAGAAGGTGAGGTGTTGTGTTAGTCAAAGAAGAGAAGTCGTGAGGTGTCAAATATGGAAAGGTTAGTCATGAGGTGTTAAAGAGTAAGAAAGTTAAAGTTTAGGTAAGAAAGGAAGGTGGAGGTGTTAAAGAAGGGTGAGGTGTTAAAGTAGGGTGAGGTGTTAAAGAAGGGTGAGGTGTTAAAGAAGGGTGAGGTGTTAAAGTAGGTGAGGTGTTAAAGAAGGGTGAGGTGTTAAAGAAGGTGAGGGTGTTAAAGAAGGGTGAGGTGTTGTAAAGAAGGTGAGGTATTAAAGAAGGGAGGTGTTAAAGAAGTGAGGTTAAAGAAGGGTGAGGTGATAAAGAGCGACCCACGAGGAACCGAGATAATGGATACAGTTGTCTTAGAAGGACCTCAGAGGTGTATGACTAAGCAGCCAAACAGAACATGGAATGGTTTAACTTTGTTGTGATTCGTTTAATGGCCATGTTAAATAATATAGCCAGGCATCATATAGTGCTGTGTCGGGATGAGTAAGATAGACAGACGTATTGTGTTGTGTTCCCGTGATGAAGGCAATCAGTAAGACGGGGCACAAAACAATAGATGAGGCAGTGTGTGAGATGGTCTCTCTCTCTCTCTCTCTCTCTCTCTCTCTCTCTCTCTCTCTTTCTCTCTCTCTCTCTCTCTCTCTCTCTCTGCCTCAGATGTTACTAGGATAATGAAACACTTGCTGCTAGTGTTGTTGTTAACATGTGCACAATTCATCATCAGAATGAAACACTCTTGAGAGATAAATTATCACAGTGATTTACTTGATAGTTGTACGAAATAATGTTTTTCACACCAGACATTATGGTTGAAAATCTTACTAATGAAACGTTGTAGATAATCGCTCTTGTGTGGGTTTAGTCTGGAGAGTCTTTGGCAGCGATCAATTTGGCTCCACGCACGCCATGTCAATCACTGGAGACTTACACCTGCGTGAGAGTAAATTGATTCTGATGGTTGGCCCAGGTGTGCACTCCTCCTCCCCTCCCCCTCCCTCCTCCTTCTTTCGATGACTTCCACTACGGTATATCTCCACTGCCCACTACTCCACTGTGAACTCTGACACTCCACTTCGTGACCTCCACGACCATATTGGCGGGGCTGGGGAGAGGAGGGAGTGGAGGGGAGGAGGGGAAGTGTGTCTGACCACCTTGTTAGAAATTAGACATAACAATTTAATGTGAGTGAGGGAGTGAGGGGTGAGGGGTGAGGGAGTGAGGAAGGAGAGGGTGAGGAGGTGGAAGGAGAGGGTGAGGGAGTGAGGGGTGAGGGAGTGAGGTAGTGAGGGGTGAGGGAGTGAGGGGAGGGAGGAGAGGGTGTGGAGGGGTGAGGGGGTGAGGGTGAGGGGAGTGAGGAGGTGAGGGGGTGAGGGAGGAGGGTGAGGGAGGAGAGGGTGAGGGAGTGAGGTGTGGGAGTGAGGGGGAGGAGGGGTGAGGGGAGGGGTGAGGGGTGAGGGGTGAGGGAGGGGGGTGAGGGAGGAGAGGGTGAGGAGTGAGGGGTTGAGGGAGTGAGGAGGTGAGAGAGTGAGGGGTGGGGAGGAGAGGAGGGTGAGGGGAGGGGGTGAGGGGGTGAGGGGTGAGGGGATGAGGTTGTGAGGGGAGTGAGGATGAGAATATGACTGAAGTAATTGACCTGACTATTAGTCAGGGTCTGGACCATGAATGACCACCGATGACAAACACTAAAACCCAAAATACTTTAATTAACCTTTACTCTATAAGCACAAGGCGGGGATAATAATAATGTGTCGACGGCTGATCTGTTTGTCTCTTTCTGTTTATCACAGGTGGCTTTATGATAGGTGTGTGGTAGGTTATATTCTCTACACACCTGAGATACACCTGGTCACTGTCAGACTCTACACAATTGAGATACACCTGGTCACTCGTCAGACTCTACACACCTGAGATACACCTGGTCACTGTCAGACTCTGCACCCTGAGATACACCTGGTCTCCGTGTGTCAGGCTATATTTCTGACACACCTGAGATATATTTGGTCACTCGTGTACCTGGTTATATTCTGGATAATTTGAGATACACCTGGTCACTGTGTAGTAAGGTTATATTCCTACACACCTGAGATATACTTGGTCACTCGTCAGACTTGTTGATTAATTCTGTTATCAGGTATAAAGGTTATTAATTTCACCGTAGAAGCAGCTCTGTAGATGGATCCTGTGTGGAATAATTTAGTTTATCCATGTGTGTTAATGTCACCGAGTGGTGGATTGTTTTGTGGTGGATTTAGGGATTAGAAGAAAAGTACATGCTTCGATTTTATGACACTTAACTGGATTAAATTTGATCTTTATGACCGCTACCTGATCCTAACCTAACCTAACTTAACCTAACACGTTGACTATATGGTTACATTGTTTGAGCTTCAGAAGTATTTGTTGACATTTCAATATCTGTATTTTCATGGAACTCAAGTCACCTGCCTAAACAACTCACCACACACACACACACACACACACACACACACACACACACACCCACCCACCCACCCCACCCACCCACACACACCCACACCCACCCACCCACACACCCACACCCACCCACACACACACACACACACACACACACACACACACACACACACACACACACACACACACACACACACACACACACACACACACACACACACACACACACACACACACACACACACACACACACACACACCGTCAGCTTATTTCATCATCTGTTAGTTTTTATGTGTTGTCCAAGCACAGCTGGACCTGGCAGGCCCCAAGGGACCACGACATACCTAACCCTCACCTCCCCTATGAGTGAGGTGTACTTTCCTCTAAAAACCTTGCCTAACCTTGTATAAATTGTCTATATAATAAACCCGACAAAATTTCCATGATATAAATAATGAAAAAGTCGACCACAAAGTTACCAGAGTGAGGCAGGCAGCAGACGGAGAGACTGACCCAGTGTCGCCTTTTAAGATTCACTCATCACCAGGACAATTGGTTCTGTGGAGGTTTGAATCCATATTCTTGTACGTTGGTGAACAGTATTTATCTTAAACTTAACGAAAACGTGACACAGATAACAAGATAA